TTGCTTTGGCGTTGGCTCGTTTTCCTTCTGGGGCAGCAGGCTCATCTCCTGCATTTTTAATAGCAGAGCGTATTTAGCATTCAGCACGCGCGTGTAGGCCCTCCAGGGGAGGACGCTCCTCCACCTCCTCCCTGCCCGAGCCCACAGCAGTCGAGGGCGAGGAACCCATCAGCCCACCAGGATGGACCAGGGTGGGAGCTGACCGCAGCTGAGAAAGCCACACTGGCTGCCTTAGTCCCTGTGCTGGAGCCTGGCCTCCGGTCAAGCAGACTCATAAGTAAAGGCTGAAATGCTCATTCTCGATAGAAAGAGCCAGTCATAATTCTCCGCCTTTTTTTTCTTTCTTCTTTTTTTTTTGGTACAAGGAATCGAACTCAGGACCTTGCGCTTGCTAGGCAGGCACTTATGCCACTGAGCTATATCCCCAGCAATACGCCTTTTTTTTTTTAGATACTGCCTTGCTATATTGCCCAAGGTGGCTTTAAACTCCTGGGTTCAAGCGATCCTCCTGCCTCAGCCTTCCCAGTAACTGGGACCACAGACACACATCATTGCACTGGACTCTATGTATCTCTCCTCACTCTACCTGGAGGCAGAATCTTCTCACCCACCTTCCTCTGCCATTACAGTCTCTGTGGGGGCTGGCCCAGCACTCTCCAGCCTCTGTTTTCCCAAGGGTGGTCCCCAGCAGCAGACACTGGGCAGGGGAGGCTGGGCAACCTGTGGGTGTTCTTGGCAGTTTGCAGGGAATGAACCCTCTTTTTTCATAGGAAGTTTTTTTTTGGGACAGTGTTTCGCTATGCAGTTCAGGCTGGCCTTGAACTCACTTTGTGGCCGAGGCTGGCCTCAAACTCAAAGAAATCCTCCTGCCTCAGCCTCCCAAAGTGAGCTACTACCCTTGCCTCTACCTAACTTTAATTCATTAAAAGTGAATCACAGGTACGTGATTCAGTGATTGGAAAATGTTTAAGGATGCTTGGCCCAATTTTAGTGTGTGAATCTATTTTACAATATCTAGTTTTAGGACCTCTAATAATGAGTCAGATATTTCCACAATGAGATGTGCCATAGGGGTAAAACACACACAGGGTTTCAAAGACACGTTGGAAAAAACAGAACATAAGCTATTTCACTGACTCTATGTGGAAATGACATTTTGGATATAGTAGATTAAAGTAAATTTATTGTGAAAATTAATTTCACCTGTTCTTTTCACTTTTTCAACATGGATGCTGGGAAGTTTAAAATTTCATTTATGGCATACATTATATTTCCACTGTACAGTGCTAATCATCACTGCTAGACCAAAGGTTCACTGGTCTGGGAATGGTGGCACACACACATAATCCTAGCATTCTGGGAGGCTGAGGCAGGAAGATCCCAAGTTAAAATCCAATCTGGGCAATTGGGTAAGACCCTGTCTCAAAAGTAAAAACAAAAAGTGGCCGGGGGTGAACTCAGTGTGAAGGCCCTGGATTCAATCCCCCCAGAACTGTCAAAAATAAATAAATAAATAAATAAATAAATAAAAGGTTCACCAGCTCCGGGAAATTTACAGTCCCCTTCACTGGCAGACCACTTGCAGCAATTTAATGAGTGTGTGCCACCAGGGGCACCACGCGTGCGGAGCTGGTGAGAAGCTGCCATGCAGGAGACGCTGCTGTGCTGCCCAGCAGGAGGAAGTCGGGAAGGTAAATGCCTGGTAGGTGCCTGACAGTGTCACAGTGAGCTCACGCGCTGTGGGGATGGGGGAGGACCAGGTGGCCAGAGAGATGGACACGGGCCGGCGAGGACTCTGGCGGGAAGGAGGGCCAAGCGGCAAAGCAAGAGCCCCGCCCCCCAGCCTGCCTCGCTCCAGATTCCTGCCTCCTGCTGTGTGCACACTCACTGCCACACACACTCCCTCCCGCACACTCTTCCCTCACCTGTGACACCCTTCGCGGTCCGCCAAGCAATTTTGTAATTGAGGCGAAACACACAGAGCATAGCAGGCTCCACTTAGCTCCCACGGCTGTCTGGCTCCTCCTCACTGCAGTGACCTCTGAGGGTGGCCGGTGACGCCTGCACCTCGGGGTTTTTGGTTGTAGGGTGGTGCGGAAGCAAGGCACCTGCAGCGGAAGTGTCTCGGTTTGGTTTGGGCAGGGGTGGGCCCCAGGGCCATGTGTCCTGTAGGCAGGCGCTCAGCCTGGAAGCGGGAAGCCGACCTGCGAACTCTGATCTCTGGCTTAGCCGGATGCAGCTTGGTGCTCTTTCCCGACGTCGACGTCGCAGGGGTGGCTTTTCCCGCCTGTAGGCTGTGCGAGCACACTTGAGGTGGGCGAGGCCAAGCTATACCCTTCAGCGGGCTTGGTGTGTTAAACGCACCTCGACTTACAACACTGGCAACTCATCACTGTAAATCAAAAGCTCCATGACCCCACCCTGCGCCTAGGAGCACCTGTACTTGTGCTTCATAGCTCCACTGTGTGCTCTTTGATCAAGCCTTTCTGAGTCCTCAGCCTGGGCCGGATGCCCTTCTGCTGCTACCAACACCAGGACCTTTATCCTGTTACAGTCTGTGTCAGCTTATGTCTCTTCTTACAGACTTCCTGAGGCAGTGTGTGTCTTATTTAACTTTGTATGCCCAAGACTGCAGCATACAGTTGTTCAGGTTCTACACTGCACTAGCATACTGGCCAGGATGAAGACCACCAGTTAGTTTTGCACTGAGTACAGGCCTGCCCCTATGCCCTTTCTAATCTGCACAAAGCCACCCATGCGACGTCAGTGGGTCCTGTGTGTATCACAGTGCTTGTTATGGAGTTAGCACAAGGTATTATAGTGGGTTTTCACTAAATGTTAAGTTAAAGCTGGGCATGGTGGCATACATCTGTAAACTCAGCACTCTAGAAGGCTGGGGCAGGAGGATCTTGAGTTATAAGCCCAGCCTAGGTAATTTAGAGAAAGGGTAAGGTCTACTCATCTGTGCTGTGTACTTTCCTTCCTTCCTTCCTTCCTTCCTCCTTCCTTCCTTCCTTCCTTCCTTCCTTCCTTCCTTCTTCCTTCCTTCCTTCTTCCTTCCTTCCTTCTTCCTTCCTTCCTTCCTTCCTTCCTTCCTTCCTTCCTTCCTTCGTCCCTTCGTCAGTCCCTCTCCCCCTTCCTTCTTTCCTCCTTCCCTCCCTCTCTCCCTCCCAACTCAGCTCTCTTCTTCCCTCTGTTTCCGATGTGTTTGTTCCCCTAAGGGCCATTTCCTACCTGCAGTCCTCCGGCTGCTCAGTCAGGACCCTGCTGGTCCCCTGGGGTCCTTCACCTCTCTCTCTTGGTCTGAAATGGGCGCTGTCCAAACCCCAGGGGACCCTGGGGGTCCAGGTGCTTGCACCACCTGAGCCCCTGGCTGCTTTCACAAGGAGAGTTCAGCTTCGGCCATCCACGGGGCCCTTGCCCGGCTTTCCTTAGTTCATTCCCCATAGCTCATATCTGGGCGGCCATTTTGTTCGTTTGTTTTTGGCAGTGCTGGGAATTGAACTCAGGTCCTCGTACATGCTGGGCAAGCACCCTATTGGTAAGCTACATCCCTAGCTTTAATAAATTATTTTATTATTTTCCATTTTCCTCTTCACTCTGAGCCTGAAGAGCCATTTCCTTAATTTTTCAGGCACACTGGACTTCCCAGCATTTACCCCGGGTCTGGGAGCTCCCACCCGACACTGACAGTGACAGCAGGACCCTCAAGCACGCATCGAGTGTGTGCTCCGACCCAGATGCGGTGCTGCTGCCTTCCTCGCCACCGTCCCATGGAGTGAATGGTTGCCCCTTTTACCAGTGAGGAAACTGAGACAGAAGAAGATGAAATGACTCCCCAGGGCCACCAGCAGAGGGTGGGGAGTCCAGAGCTCGCCTTACAGCAGAGCACATGCAGCCTTGGCCCCCACACTCTCAGCTCCCCAGGCCACCGAGCAGGGGATGGAGAGTGGCCCTAGGAGACTCACACTGCCCCGTGCTGCCAGAGGTCCCCACTGTCATTGTCAGGCAGAGCCTTCGCTAGCCAGTGACGTCCTGCACAACAGACCTGTGACCCAGCGGCCATGGAGAACAAAGCCCGTCCCCAGGGCCCATGGGGACAGGTGCCCCCACCCCAGCCTTGTCCTCCCTCTTCACACTGGCACAAGAGGCCCTTTCATCGACCCGGTGTAATTAGCTCTTTCACTAAGCCAGCATCATTTCCAGCATACAGAGACAAACCCACTGATGGATGATTCTCTACACAGCTTTCCTAGGTATGGAGTTAAGTGTAATTAAGTATCATCAATGAATGGGACGCTGCTGCTCTTTAAACATATAAACGTGGCGGACCCCACACTTGTCCCCTCCCACCCTGTCGAGGCCTGGAGGAGAAGGCTGGTGGCACCATAATGAGCCAGTATTAAGAGCTCGCGCAGGGGGCTCTGCCTTTGGGAATCCCACCACCTGCAGCTGCGGTTGTGCCCCTGTCTGTCCAGCCCACAGGGGCCCTTTACTGACTTTTTGGCAACGACTGAGATTCAAGACTGAATTAAAAGCCTCTGATTTTTCATAGTCACCTGACACAGGCTATCTCCCTCCCTCTCCCAGGGGTGCGTCCTCTGTGGACAGCTCCCAAACACCTCTGCTCAGCGGGGACGGGGACAGGGGACAGGGCACAGGGTGAGGCCCTGCAGGAGCTGCCTGCTGCTGGGTGGACTGTGTGTGCTTTTGATCATTCACCCAGTGCTTCTCTCTACTGAGAGGTGACCCTGTGCCACAGAAAGAGCTCCCGCTCCCCTTTTCTTAGGCACAACTTGGCTCTATTGTCAAGAGGAGAAAAACGCCCGTCTGGCACTTTAAGGCCCCATGTTCCCTCTCCTGTTCAGGTTTCCCACACCGGCACTGTGGGTCCCCATCTCAGTCCCCTGGATTCCTGGACGCAATGCCCGGGGAACCAAGGCATCGAATAAACACCGTTTCAGGCGGTGACAGGACAGGCGGCGAGGACAGACACTCACCATGGTTTATCCCTTGATCCCTTAGCAGGAAAGACTGTGTGCTGCTTGCTGCTGGAGGTAAGGAGATTGTCTTTGGGCGTTTTGAATGGCTTTGAGGTGCTGCTGGCAGAGCTATGGCCGCTGACACAGGCTTTGGTCTTCACCTGTGCTAGAGCCGTCCTGGGGTTGGAGGCCGGAGATGCTGGCGAGGGCGAAGGCCCGCACATAGAACCGTGTCTTCTCTCTGCGGGAAAAGAACACAACTCAGCAGGGCTCTGAGGCAAGTGGGTGTCCCTCCCTCCCTCCCTCCCTCCACCACTAGCAATGTGGGTGTTCCGCACCTGGACAGCACGCCAGGTTGGCCCTGAGGCTCTGCAAAACCACTTCCTCGGGAGCAATACCAGGGACACCAGTGTCACCCGACACACTGGGGCAAAGTCATCCAGGGCAGGGCCACGCTCTCAGAACGAAGGGGAAATCCTCATCCTTGACCTCCATGGGGGGCATGAGAGTTAGAGGGGCCATGAGCTGAATGAAAGGTCTTTGAGAGCCTGGACGTGGCCATCATGGGTGCCTGCCTGGGGCTGGGGACAGGCTGTCCACACACCCAGTTATGGCCTCTCTCAGCCGACGCAGCTGAAGGCCACACATGCAGGAGGACGCCGACACTTGAGGCACGGGTGGGGAGCATGGACTCGGGGTGTGCACAGCTTCCTGAAGTTCTGCGGAAGGCACAGAGCTCCGGGCAGACACGCTCCGCTTGTCCCCACCCATCAGCCACTGCGCCTCGACCCGGCAGGCAGCGAGGGCGCTGACCGGCACGGTGGACAGTGGCCGTATGACATAAGGTTCCAGTGCTCACCCACTATGGTGGCTCTTTGCTTCCTCTTCATGTGTCCTGGGGTTGAATCCAGGGCATTTGCACTGGGCTACAGCCCAGCATTTTTTCCTCCAACTTTTTGTTTTGTTTTGTTTTGTTTTGAGACAGGGTCTGGCTAAGCTGCCAAGTTGCCCAGACTGGGCTGGAAATTTTAGTCCTCTTGCCTCAGCCTCCCAGAGCGCTGTAATTACAGGCACACACCACCATGCTCGGTTTACAGGACTTCTTAATTGTTTCAGGGCAACAGATCCGATAGAGTTAAACATCCCAGCAAAATGCTCATTTACACAAACACCAAAACTCTGCGCCATTAAAATATCTCAAATTCTGCAAGGACCGAGCGTCCCGGAACCCAGCCTCCTCCTCCCTGGCTCTCTCGCGCCCCACATGTGATTAGTGCTCACTTCAACTCTGTTGAACAAATAAGCGAAACTGCAACAGATGACTTGACGGGACGGACTAGGGGTTGCAAATCTGCATGGAAGGTGGTACTGGAAAAGACGGGCAGCAAACACGGCAGACGTCATTCTCTCTGCAGCCCGGAGCTGGTGTGGGCTGCCGGGCCGCAGGACCTTCCCGGTGCTACTGTGTACCTGGCCTCCACAGCAAAGCGGCCTCCACTTGCCCGTGTGGGGCGACTCTGGCATTTCTGTGTGGTCCTCATACCCGAGCTACCGGACTGTCTCCATGCGGACTGGTTCTAGTTTTCTGATGGAATTGGAGTCAGCGGGCTGGAGAGGGGACGATATCTGAGGCTCCTCTGGTTGTTGGGTACTTTGGCCCCATCAGTGCTCAGACACTGTCCATGCAGAACATGGGGTCATTTTTGTTCTTTGGCTCATTGTCAATTTTGAGTGGCTGATGGGTGGGGACAAAAAGGCTGAGGCAGGAGGATCACCTCACGCTCAGTTCCCGAGGCCAGCCCATCGCAAGCTTTGAAAACCAAGATCTAGCCCTCTGGCCTCCTCTCGGATGCTGCAGAGAAAACCACGGGCTGGGAGCCAGGAGATCCGGCCTCCAGCTCCAGCCACCAGACAGCAGGCTGACGGCCTGGGGTTGCCCCTTTAGCTTTCTGGGTTTCTATATCTTTATCTGTAAAGGAAATGGGTCCCTTGGAGGATTCTAAGGCCTCTTTCCATTCCATTACCATAAATACAAGGCATGCTTATACCTATTCCTTCTCTTCTCATCACTCACAACTCCTGGATGTTACAGCAACGATTGCAGCCAACGAGCTGAGATCTGTACCCAGGCAGCTCTTCCTCGGAGGGAGCCAGCCTTTGTAAAATTGCGCTAGCCTTTACAACCCCCGCGAGACAGGCAGGAAGCAGCCAGGCATCTCCACCCTCTTCACAGCTGAGTGGCAGCAGGGGACCCAGATAGGCCAGGTGATCCAAGGTCATTGTCAAGATCAGGGCCAACAGCTACTTCAGAAATGGGGCCCTGGGCATAGGCGCAGTGGCCTTTCAGGAAGGCAGGAAATGTAGTATGAGCGAGATTTGAAGCCAGGAAATTAGGAAATGAAGAATTAAGCATTACCAAAGGTTAGAACTGGGTTGTAAAAGTCAGCTAGTCTGCATGGTGGCACACATCTGTATTCCCAGCACTTAGGAGGCTGAGGCAGGAGGATCACCTCAAGCTTGAGGACAGCCTGGGCTACATTGTGAGTTCAAGGAAACCTGTGCTAGTAAGTGAGACCCTGCTTCAAAAAACCAAAACAAAGGAAACACAACTAGTCTGATAATCTAATTTCCTTTGTGATAGATGGGTTTATCAGTTACCAGCCACAGGGTAAAGCTGGTTAGTGGCCATGCTGGGACTAGAATCAAGCACCTTCACCTTAAATCTGCAGTTGTTCTGCCCTTCAGAAATTTCTTGTTTAACAATTTCTTTTTTTGGCAGAGGTTTCCACTTCTAAAATAAGATTGATTTTTATCACTACTGTTTCAAATTTTTCTGTGGTCTTCATTTCCTCCAAGGGTAGGGGTGGATGGGTACAGAAGTATCACTCAGTAGTCTGAAAACAAGTACAAACTTAAGTTTGCTAAACCGAGGATGAACTATCCCAAGAAGGGTGCCACTAGTGACAAAATGAGTGGATTGGACCAGTGACTGTAAAACCACCTTCTGGAGAATCCTGGTGTGTTGTGCTGGCTGACACGTTCCCCGTGAAACTCGCAGACAGACCTAAATGAATGGAGAACTTTCCTCTTGGTTTTATGTTTTACCTCCATAAATTACTTTGTTAAATGACTTGATGAAACCTGAACACAACCTTTTGCTCTTCATGTGAATTTCTGTTTCCTTCATGTACGATTTTGTAGTGCAAGATAGGCAGAAGCAATATTTCTGTGAAACTGTTCCTTGTTCTGACTGAACTGATCTACCTATGTTAAGGTGTCTCACCTAGAGGTCTTCATTTCTGTCCCCTGAGCGATGGGAACAAGCTTGCCCTCTATTGGTGCAGGTTGGTTTGTTTTAGTACTGGAATTGAGCTCTGGGCCTTTGCATTGAACTATATCTCCACCCTTTTAATTTTTTTTTTTTTAAATTTTGGGACAGAGTCTTGCTAAGTTGCTAAGCTGCCCAGGCTGGGATTGAATTTGTGATCCTCCTGCCTCAGCATCCCAGAGTGCTGGGGATACAGGTGTGTGCTGCCACTCTTGGCTCTCTTAGTATTTAAAGTGGTGGAACCAAGAGGGTAACAGCAGTCAGGGCTTCACTCAGGTGGTAGCTCAACTTTTGCAAATGATTAGAATTGCAGGTCCAGGCAGGACACAGTGAGTAGATGTTATAGGAAGACCCCTGTTATGGTTTGTATGTAGATGTTTCCCCAAAGCCTCATGTACTCGTAGGTGGGACTTTTTGGAGATGGCTGGATTTAGGGTGTGTAACACTGGGGTTACAGGTCTGTGATAACTAAATGGATTTAGCATAGTTCTGGGTGTGGATAACAGAAGCCCCACCTTGGGTGTGGGTGGCACTAATCAACAGACTTACAGCCTAGATGTAATATACAGGGAGAGAGGGAAGGCAGATTTGCTCTGCTGCTTGCTGCTTTGCTGCCTCCTGCCTGCTCTGTCATGAAATGTTTCTCCTCTGCGATGCCCCTCTGCCATGCCACCTGATTATGGACTGAAATCTCTGCAAACTGTGAGCTAGAAATAAACCTTTTCTCCTTTTAACTTGGGAGTGTTGGATATTTTGTCTCAGCTATGAGAAAGTAAGTAAGACAACCTGGTTCCCAATCCATCTGTGGATCTCCAGTCTGAACACCCACCTATAGATGACTTACATAGTTCAGTTCTGATTTTTGGTAGGTCAGGAATGGGAGGAAGCAGAGTTGTTATTTCTTGTAAAAAAGTATTGCTGTGCAGGTGGAACTTTTCTGAGTAAAGTTTTCCTGATTTACATGACAGTCATTCTGATTTATCCACTTTGGGAATAATCATTTCCTTCTATGTTTTGGTCAAGGGCTTGCCTTAGGCAGATTTCTAAATTAGTCTAATTTCATGTGCTTTGCTCAAAAAAGTTTATATAACATTATAATCCTCACTGTTAAAATGTTTTATGGACTTAAGCAATTTGAGAAAAGAGCATTTCATTCTTGTTATGGTTTGTGTCTGGGTGTCCCCCCCAAAAACATTTGCAGTCATGGGGCAGGCTTTTAGAGTTTATGATTGGGTGTGAATGCTACATCCACCCTGGGGCGGGTAGTTTACATATGTAAGGCAGAGAAAGAGACTGCTTGCTGCCATTCCTCCCTTTTGCTCTTGCTTCTTTTGCTATTTTCCACCACCATGAACGTTGCCCTGTGCCACCCTGCCTTGGAGCCAGCCAAGTATGGACTGAAACCTCCACAAACAGTGAGCTAAATAAACCCTTTCTTCCTTAATTTTGGGCATTGGGTATTTTGTCTCAGTAACAAAAGAAAAGTAACCAAGACATCTCTAAATTTTCTTGATCTTTGTTAATATACACAGACATTTTAATGAAAACGTAATCAACTGATATTTCAGCTATTTCTTGTCAACTAACCTTATTTTATACATGTGTATATGTTCTATATGCTTGTTATTTTAAATAGTTAATGTTTAATCACTAACATGATTGTTAGATGTAGATTATTTAACTGTTCTCTTATTGCCTGGCATTTAAAAAAAATTAATTTATTTATAAAATGATTTAGGATTTCTTTTTTTTTTCTTTTTGAGACAGGTTTTCACTATGCAGTTCAGGCTGGCCTTGAGCTCACTTTGTAGCCCAGGCTGGTCTCAAACTTGCAATGATCCTCCTGCCTCAGCCTCCCGGGTGTTGGGATTACAGGCATGTACCACCACGCCTGGCGGGAATTTTTTTTTGTT